AAAATTCCAACGGTTGGTTTGACGGCAAGGGGACTTTAACCCATGCCCGTCCACCACTGAGGATATTTTACGTCAGCACTGTAGTCAGTGCGAGCTGGGGGCAGAATTCGAATAAATTAGCCATCGTTGGGATTCGAACTCAGATCACCTCATTGGAAGGCAAGCCCATGAGCCACCACAGCTCTGAATATCTTTTTTACTGAATTGAAGCTCAAATTTTGATAAAAACTTATGTCAGAAATGCATTGCCCAGCTATATCTCCATATGACACAGACATGAATACCAAATATTGAAGCTAAGTTGAAGATAATTTAACTTCACTTAATCCAAGTATAAAATTATTAAGAACTTCAAAAAAAGTTTTTTTTAAATACTATGTGCGATTAGTAAAATAAATAGTCGCATATAGTATTTAAAAAAAAACTGCTTTTCAAGGCATATCTTTTAACTCCTTAAAATATTATGTGAATGCCTGTTTTTTTATACTTTAAAATTTCAAATTACCATTGGTAATAAAACAAAAAAAATTCTTGAAAAGTTTCTCCAATAGGTATAGCGCCCTCTTAATTTTGCTTCAGATGACAAATCAATAAGAATAATTTATATCCTGTTCTGCACCCTAAAAATGGATTCCAACAATAGACGCAACTAAAATTCGAAAGCTCAGTATCGAGTTAGTTAATACTTTTATCTCTACTTACCATACCACCATCAATTTAATGTACGATTTCATTTCTCCAGTCCCGGTACACGTCTTGCAGCAAACGTCTTCGTCGCCATTGCATTCCCAACATCTAAATAAGAAAAATTAAATAAAAATAGGAAGCTTTATTTGTTAGTTTTACGGTTTTATTAGCTATAGTTTAATCTTAAGTTTAATTTTAAATTAACTTTCAACTAATTTCTATGGAGAGTAAAACTTTAAAATTAAGTATAGTTAGTCATTTATTCAACTGGGTATTAGAAAAGTATAGAAATAGTCTTATACATCAATAAATATGCATGTTAAATATTTTGAAAAAATGCATTCAATGGCAACCAAACTAGATTCCGACCTCCTTTAAAACCCCTTCCTTATCGCTTCCGTGAAAATGACGGGGTGAGGTTTTGCCCTCTATTTCTCGCTCCCGTGGTATTTCCGGGCTGGAGTGTTCTGTAGTGACGCTCCAATAAGAATAAAACTAATTCATTTCTTTTGCTGGTACTGCCATCTGGTGTGTAAAATGAGAAATATAATGTTACCGGGCAAAAGAAATGAATTCAGTATTATTGGCGCGATACAACTGAACACTCCATCCCGGAAATATCACGGGAGCGAGAAATAGAGGGCAAGACCTCACCCCGTCATTTTCACGGGAGCGAGAAGGAAGGGGTTAATGCTTAAAACACATATTTTTTAAATTTTCCTTGCTTACTGGAAAACCAACATTAAGTCATAGTAACCCTGAATGAAAAAAATAGGCACTTTTATGACAGTTTTCTCGGAAATTAACCGATCGTTAAGGGGTTAAATCCTCCTTCCCTCTCGTGGTACGAGATGAGGGATCGAGTTTGGTGTCTAACGGCACCGCAATGCCCAAGATGGGAAGCACTGTCATACATTAAAATTAGAGTAGAGTTGAGATGTAGACACCTTGCATTACATAATATCATAAAAGAATTTAAAACTTACGTTCGTTCCCCACTGTCACATTTATTACAGTCACCATCAAAGCTGTCTGTGTAGAGGGGGTTGTACTTGTTTCCATGGCAATAAGGACAAAACTCCTAAAATTGAATTTTTATTAAAGATATTTTTCTAATCTTAAAACTAGGTACAATACACGCTTAAAAGCATTTACTCAAAGTTGAGATATAATGTGGGCAGAAAACATGCCTCGAGTGCTCATGAATATGCACCCATTCTCAAGACTCGCAAGACAGGAATGCTGTGTTATTTGCATACCACATATGAAAATTTGCTTATAACATGAAAATATTTTATTAAATATGACCTTGTACACATGCTAAATACATGTTAAATATTACACATGTTACACGTGTTAAATATTTGGCAATCGATATATTACTTTAATATAATATATTTTTGCTAAATTAATAACTTTTAAAATGAATAATGGTTGTTATTTAATTACTACCTCTTTAATGCAATTTATGTAATCAATGTCGAATTGTTAGTTTGTGTGTCAACTAAACTATTTGTTTCATATATTGCTTCCACATTATTGGGTTAAAATATTAAGCTCAATATTCATGCTTGGAGAGTCTTGAAAATGGGGGCCTATTTTTGTACTCCTAAAACATCTTGATTTTTACACCATTAATTTTTAAAGCGAATAAAGTTCTTATGATACCAAGTATATCTTATAATGCTAAGTATATAACACAGAGTATATAAAACCGCTTGGGATTATTCAATCAATATAATGTCAATAATTTGTAAATTTTCAACAACATTAGTAAAATTAGAAGTTAAATTCTCATTGTATTTAATATACCAGACTGTCATATATAGCAGTTGAACCCATTTATGCAGGAGTTTTTATTTTTATTGTTGTGAAAAAAGTATTTTATGAAAAGAACGGTAATGCATGAATATTTAAATTATGTGGGTATTTTCTTATAATAGCTGACATATAAATTTCGTTTACCCATTTTAGGAAACACATAAAAGTTTTATAAAATGTGGTATTGTTTTCATTGAAATATGCTTACATTACATTCATTAAGACACATACAAATTTCGTGTATAAAAAATATATTTTATTTAAGAAATAAAATGGTGCACAACGAATTTCTCGAATCAGACGTCCGCGCGGACGGCCCCGTTAATGTTCGTGATACACTTTCAATTTTTGTTATCTTACAAGAGTCTAGCGCCTCACTTCTAAAATGACCCTCTAATCTAGAAATCCCGTACAGCAACATACTGCGCATGGTGGATTGATGTTTTTTTCCGTCTGGGAGTACTGCAGCAGTTGAAAGAGACTTTTCACCAATGAACTTGCAAAAAAACACATTACGTAAGCGTTAAACGTAATTAATAACATCCACCTAAATGGAAAACCCCTTTCAGATTTCTGTGCAGAAACCTCTGTAAATCATAGGCTTGATTGTGGAACTGGCAAACGTCATATTTGATTCATTTAAAAAACGCAGTACCCTCGGATAAATTGACATTCCAGATAACTTGACCTTTGTCATTTAAATTATTTCATAAAAGATATAAATTATTTCATAAAAGAAATACTATGTTTTACTATTAGTAACCTAGTATTTCTTTTATTACTGTATAATGTAATCCTAGTAGCTACTAATTCATTGTGTAATTTATATAAATGTTTGTAATAAATGAGAAAAAATATTATTTTTATTTATTTAGAAGCGACGGGTTAGTTTCAAAGGAGACGGGTGCATTGTTGGACATGCCGTCCTCGGGGACGGGTAAAATTTCTGAGTTTTTTCGAGCCCTGCTTTTTCCCATCAATGCAGGAAGACATTAGTGCAGGAATTTTCAAATAGGAGTGCAGGAATCAGTGCAGGAATTTTCGCCTTCAGAATCCATCGATTTATGATTAAGAGATTCGTGTGGAGGGAGAGTTCTTTAATAATTCACGTAATTTAAAGTTCTAATGCATACATTAAATGTATTTTGCCACTCCAAGTATTTTTAAATAAAGTTCTTTAAAGTCACAATGTTTAACTAAATTTTGTCACTTAGTTATATTATTTTTATTTTTAAATTAAATTTTTATAGCCGTAGATTATTTCGAACAGGAACTTTTTTTAAAAAATATAATCTAATCCAAGCAACAACAACAAAAAAACAGTTTGCAAAATGGGGCTATTAAATGAAAAGGACCTATCGATATCGATAGGTTTTAGTAAATGTGGCTACTAAGTTATTAGTCTTCTGGCTATTGGCTACTAACTGAAAATTTAAATTTTTAGGTCTAGCTTAAGAAGATATTCAGAAATAGAAACAAATGGCGATAATGTTAAATAGTATTTTAAAATATAAAGTCAATCATCGCTCTTTATGGTATTAAAGAGAGATGATTGACTTTAATCTTCTCTTATGGTATTAAGAGTTAATATAATGAATTGAAAAATTTTATTAATAAAATTTTTCAATTCATTATATTAACTCCTTTACGATTATTGATATATTAATCATGTAGCTGAGTTAAGAGCTCGCAAACTATAAACTGACCAGTAGGTTACACAGAAATTATTGATAACTTTAATCTTGATCAAAGTATATTAACATACTTCTGCCTAATTTCATCTCAAGTTTACTAAAATTATCAATGTTTAAAAAAAAGCAAGGAAACTATTAATGATTTTTTTCACAATGTTCTTAACAAGAAGGAAAGGTTAATATTTCTTTAAAAAAAAAATAGTTCACACAAATTTTCAAAAAAAAAAAGGAATTCCGATGAAAAATATAAAAGAAATACGTTGCAACAAATAGAAAGCAGAAGTTAAATTGCAATTCAAGAAGTTAAGAACAGTGGACAATGTGCAAAAGCTTACCTATCAGACTTCGATATACTTAATAAAGAGCAGTGGAACTATTATTTAATTCAAGTGGATATCATATTAAAAGTCAAATCTCGTACGTCGTTATCTCTAAGCCAATCAGAAATCAATGTTGTCGAACCATAATCACGAAATCTACAAAGTTTGTGCAGTGGGAAAACATACCATGGATTAAAATCACGAAAATGATAATCCTAAGCCAGCTTTATAAACAAACTTGACTTCTTCTCTGATATCCCAAAGCTTCAATACTTATAAATTATTCATTTGTTAAACTTATGTCATAAAGCTGCTTACATGTATTTCTGCGTTACCTATTATTTAGTCACGCTTAAAATAGAATGCAGAACTGCATAAGAATTACTTCCACGTGGAACGAAGAATTGTTGATTAAATGGAGGATGATTTACCATAGTTGCCAGCTTTTTTTGGATATGATTTTATCCAGTGATATATTAACAGCAGCAGAATTTTGTAAAAATAAGCTAGCTATTTTTTAAATTTTATTTTGATTATTGAATATTTTAACGTTTCTATGATCAGAATCATTATAAGCAATTTTAGGTTATGTATTTCTAGGCTACCTATTATATTGTAAAATTAGGAATTACTTTCGCGTGTATCTCAGAATTGTTGAAAAATTGAAGAATTGCTTCTACTTAATGCCTTTAAGAGGGGTACTCATCTTATGGTATTAAAGGCAGCACAATTTTTTTAAAAATCCGCAAAGCTGTTTTGGAATTTTATTTGTATTTTTTAAAAAAAAATGAGTGTTCTTTTAATCAAAATAATTTATAAACAATTTTAGGGCATATATTTTTGTGCTACCAATTATTTCGTCACGCTTAAATTAAAATTCAGAATTGCATAAGAATTGCTTCCACGTGGAACACAGAATTATTGATTAAGTGGAGGTTTACCATAGTTGCCAGCTTTTTTTTTTTTTTTTTACAGTAGATTTTATCCAGTGGTATATTAAATGCAGCAGAATTTTCTAAAATTTGGCTGTTTTTTAAATTTTATTTAGATTATTCAACATTTTAATGCTTTAGAGATCAAAATTATTTATAGGCAATTTTAGGTTACGTACTTTTAGGCTACCTATTATTTTATGAAATTTGGAATTACAAATGAATTACTTTCACATGGATCTCATTATTCTTGAAAAATAGGAGAATTTCTTATATTTAATGCCTTAAAGAGGGGATATCATCTTATGGTATTTAAATGCATCAGAATTTTGTAAAAACTGCTCAAAGCTATTTCAAATTTCATTTATATATATATATTTTTTAAATTTAGTGCCCTTTTTATTAAAATAATTTATAGACAATTTTAGGTCCGATATTTTGGTGCTACCAATCATTTCGTCACGCTTAAATTAAAATGCAGAATTGCATAAGAATTACTTCCACGTGGAGCACAGAATTATTGAGTAAGTGGAAGATGATTTACCATAGTTGCCAGCTTTTTTTAGAGTAGATTTTATCCATTGCTATATAAACTGCAGTAGAATTTTCTAAAAATAAGCTATTTCTTAAAATTTTATTCAGATTATTGAACATTTTAATGTTTTAGTGATGAAAATCATTTATAGGCAATTTCAGGTTATGTATTTTTAAGCTACCTATTATTTCGTGAAATTTGGAATTACATAAGAATACTTCCACGTGGTTCTCAGAATTGTTGAAAAATTGTAGAATTGCTTATACTTAATGCTTTAAAGAGGGATATCCATTTGCTCAGGAGCATCTAATCAAGGAATTCGACCCGGGCATTCAAACACTACTTCACGCCACTGTCTGTTTGTTTGGGAAGTAAACGCTGTAGGTGAGCATGAGCCTATGACTTCCCTGGCCCACACTAGGCTGTAGCAGCAATGTTAAAAAAAACAAAATTTTCGAGGAAGTTGCAATGATTATCGAGCAAAAAGATACGATTTTGATATAGAATCGAAAATTTAATCTGCGAAACCAACCAAATCTGTGCTGTTAAAATAAAATACTTTTCGATCTTCCAATCGAATATTTTTTCAATTTTAACACAAATGAATTAAAATCGAGTGTTTTATGTACTTACCCATCCTTGTCCAAGACAGGTTGGACATTCGTACTTTCCCTCTCCGTCGCATTCATCGCAGGTCTCGACGGCAGCTGTGTGTGGTAGTTCTTGTTGATACACGCAATTTTTGAAGTAAATTTTAGGTTGAGCTGGAACATCCCATAGGTCTGGAGGTGGGTTATTATCATCTTGCCTATCAATAAACCCATTCTGAACTGCAAAGAAAGTAAGTATTTTCACGAAATTAATCCTGAAAAATATACAATACAGCAACAGCGAGTGACGCTTTAACAAATCACAACAGTGTTGAAATGTTAATTATTGAATTCTACTGACCTATGGTCAATACATTTCATATCGAATTCTAATAATCGTTGGCCTATTCACAGGATATCAAATTCCACTAACCGCTGGTTTATTTGTTGGGTATTGAATTCTGCTAATCGCTAATGTATTCGTTGGGTATAAAATTCTAATAATCCTTAATCCATTCGTTGGGTATCGAATTCTACTAATCGTTAGTGTACTCGTTGGGTATCGAATTCCAGTAATCCTTAATCTATTCGTTGGGTATCGAATTCTGCTGAACCTTAATCTATTCGTTGGGTATCAAATTCTGTTAAACGTTAGTGTATTCATTGGGTATCAAATTCTAATAATCCTTAATCTATTCGTTGGGTATCGAATTCTGCTAATTGTTAAAATATTCGGAGACTATCAAATTCTAATAATCCTTAATCCATTCGTTGGATATCGAATTCTGTTAATCGTTAGTGTATTCGTTGGGTATCGAATTCTAATAATCCTTAATATATTCGTTGGGTATCGAACTCTGCTAATCGTTTGTGTATTTTGAGTTTTGGATTCCACTAATCGTTGGTCTGTTCGTTGGGCATCAAATTGGGCTAACTGTTCGATTATTCGTTGGGTATTTGCTACATAGATAAAGTTAGCCCAATCCAAAAGAATGTGTGAAAACGATTTTAAAAAAAGAAATTTTCTCTTTAACCACACCTTCCAACTGGCAAAAAAATTTCCGTAACGATTGCTGACAATATTTTCTAATGGTAACAAAATGTATACTTAAGTACCTCACTTTTGTTTCATAGAATTTGACTTAAAATTTTTTTTACCATCATGACTTGTAAATAATTTTATCATCTGTATAAAAAGCCAGATACTTAAAAGAGGACATGAAAGTCCAGCCTCATCACAATAATTTAACTGACTGTAATTAACTAATAATTTAACTATAACATATAAATAACTAATAATATGTATATATATTGGGCCAGAATGTGACCTCCCACCCATTTTTCATCACTACTCACCGTTATCCGGAATCAGCCCCTTTGTTTATCAAATATATCTAATTTTATGCGATGAATTTAATTTTGAGTAGGAAACATTATTATTTTTACAGTTCCTTTGATCCCATTTGACTGTTGTACCTTTCCAAATTTTAATTGTTTATAGTTATTTGTTTATTTACTTATTTATTTATTTTGTGGTACAGTGTACTAAAAGTTACATGCAAAAACATTTACTTTACTATAACTTTTAATATTTGGGGGAAAACTGGATGTAATGTTAATACCGTATTATGAATGCAATCAGAACATATTTTGTTAAAGGATACTAACTGCAATAAGGCTCTGTAATCCAATTGGTGGTTCTCTTTTCAGTGAATGTTTCCAAAGCATACTGGAAAAAAATAAATAGCATAAATATATTGACATTTTGCAGTGACAAAGGTAAATTTTTAACAGAATTATTGCGCTTAAAAAATACTACATTTACCTGAAATGCTATTGAATGCTTAATGCTCGTAAATTGCATGTTTTTAGCTGCTTTGCTGCCATAACAACAGTGGGATGTTACTTCATCTAGCAATGCTTCCCTGATTTCCCTTTCCTTAAATTCCGGAATGCTGCAAATAAATAAATAAATGAGGAAATAATAAATAAAACGTATGCAGAAATCAATCCAAAACATTTGCTTCCCTGATTTCCCTTTCCTTAAATTCCGGAATGCTGCAAATAAATAAATAAATGAGGAAATAATAAATAAAACGTATGCAGAAATCAATCCAAAACATTTGCTTCCCTGATTTCCCTTTCCTTAAATTCCGGAATGCTGCAAATAAATAAATAAATGAGGAAATAATAAATAAAACGTATGCAGAAATCAATCCAAAACATTTGCTTCCCTGATTTCCCTTTCCTTAAATTCCGGAATGCTGCAAATAAATAAATAAATGAGGAAATAATAAATAAAACGTATGCAGAAATCAATCCAAAACATTTGCTTCCCTGATTTCCCTTTCCTTAAATTCCGGAATGCTGCAAATAAATAAATAAATGAGGAAATAATAAATAAAACGTATGCAGAAATCAATCCAAAACATTTGCTTCCCTGATTTCCCTTTCCTTAAATTCCGGAATGCTGCAAATAAATAAATAAATGAGGAAATAATAAATAAAACGTATGCAGAAATCAATCCAAAACATTTGCTTCCCTGATTTCCCTTTCCTTAAATTCCGGAATGCTGCAAATAAATAAATAAATGAGGAAATAATAAATAAAACGTATGCAGAAATCAATCCAAAACATTTGCTTCCCTGATTTCCCTTTCCTTAAATTCCGGAATGCTGCAAATAAATAAATAAATGAGGAAATAATAAATAAAACGTATGCAGAAATCAATCCAAAACATTTGCTTCCCTGATTTCCCTTTCCTTAAATTCCGGAATGCTGCAAATAAATAAATAAATGAGGAAATAATAAATAAAACGTATGCAGAAATCAATCCAAAACATTTGCTTCCCTGATTTCCCTTTCCTTAAATTCCGGAATGCTGCAAATAAATAAATAAATGAGGAAATAATAAATAAAACGTATGCAGAAATCAATCCAAAACATTTGCTTCCCTGATTTCCCTTTCCTTAAATTCCGGAATGCTGCAAATAAATAAATAAATGAGGAAATAATAAATAAAACGTATGCAGAAATCAATCCAAAACATTTGCTTCCCTGATTTCCCTTTCCTTAAATTCCGGAATGCTGCAAATAAATAAATAAATGAGGAAATAATAAATAAAACGTATGCAGAAATCAATCCAAAACATTTGCTTCCCTGATTTCCCTTTCCTTAAATTCCGGAATGCTGCAAATAAATAAATAAATGAGGAAATAATAAATAAAACGTATGCAGAAATCAATCCAAAACATTTGCTTCCCTGATTTCCCTTTCCTTAAATTCCGGAATGCNGATAAGAAATTTATGTAAAAATAATAAAATAACATTTATTGTCATAAGTTTTATGTTTATTCATCATAACAAACATCATCTTCTTCCGAGTTATTTAAATGTAAATCTTGATCTCCACGTGTTGACCTTAATGTCCTGTAAAAGTCGTGTTTAATTGGAGGTATATACTTTAATAAACACATGATGTCTTTTTTTGGTTCTCTTGAAATTGTTCTGCCATTAGGATATAATATAGGTTGAGTTATATTTTTTAAATTTACTGGCCTACCTATTTTTGTTTTTTTTTACTATGAATTTCTTGCTTTTCAGTGTTACCAACAAATATCGAAAGAAGAAGAAGAATTTAATTTTTATTTCAAAGTTTATGTAAAAAAATATTGATAAAAGGTGGACTTATTCACAATGGCTTCTGAAATTATTATACAATATATTCAGAAGCTATTAAAAAAAGGGCTGTCTAACCTAGAAAAAAGTAACCAACGAGTAAATCCTTTAATAATTAAGAAGATTATTATTTATTTCATCAAAATTTCCAAAAATCAGAAAATATCAAAAAATGGACTTAACCGCATTGGCTTCTGAGCGGCTCATATGTAAAGTAAATAAAAATTTGTTCAACATTTTTTTTGAATGAATGCTTAGTATAAACAACACATTTCAATTCTTGTATTAAAAAATAGTCTTACCTTGGTAAAGGATACAATTGGGATTCGTTATTAGGTTTTCTTGGAAGCGTTAGCTGCGTTATGGCTGAAAAGTGAAAATTTTGTTGCTAAATTAACAATTTTTTCTGAATTGTAGAAATAAAAAGAACATCAAATCATATTTAAGTTATTGGCATTATATTTGGAAAAAAATATGCAATTCACTTAATCCGTTTTAATTTTTTTTTTATAAAATATTAAATTTCAACCATTCAAAATTTCTTATTTTTCGAACGTGTTTAAAAACATACACATGATAATTTAAAATCAAAAACATTGGGGGATCGCCGTGGGAAGAAACAATTGGCACTAATTTATTTGTTGATAAGATCATATAAATATAACCTAAATATTTTTGAGCCTATAAATTTTAAAAGAACCTAAATATTTAGTTTTCTTTTTTTTTTTCATAATCGTTTTATATTTTCAAGTTATTAAAAACTCCTCTGGGGAACAATTATTTTTCTGTTTTGTTTTTTGTTCCATAAGATTTTGAAAAGCTATGCAATTTTTTTTATAAAATTTGGTAACACGTTCCTAACTAGGATTTCTTAAAATTCACCCGAGTGAATGCTAAGTGTCTCCACACTTCTCTGCTGCGTAGGGAGTGGTGAGAAGAAAGCGATAATATATTTCAGTTTATGATGGGATGTGTTAATGCCTTATGTTTTCGTATATATATATATATATATATATATAAGCTTATTAATTTATAAGCATAATTATAAAAATAGATCCATAAAATAGATCTCATCTGTATTTTTTTTTTTAAATTATTGATTCGTCGAGTTAGTTAAAAAAAAATTGTTTTTTAAGCTTTAACCTGCAAGATTTTATACGCCAAAACGCTAATGAAGCTACCACTAGGAAAATCATTTCTCAACCGACAGTGGCTGCCAAAGTTGGCAGCTAAGTATATGTATACAAATCTATGCGTTCTTTATAAATTTGAAAACCCAGGCAAACAATAAAATAAAATAAAAATATCATTTTGAAAAAAAAAATGGTAGTTTTCGGAACTTTTAGATTTCAAATCCTCTCACCCCTATTATCTATAAGATCTAGTACTTCTGTAAATGCAATAAAAAATTATAGATAGTTAGCAACCCAGTGTGGATAACCTGGTGTAGATAGATAGTGCATAACCAAGTGTAGATAGATAGCATTATTTCCAGATTAGATAGCATTAATCAGATAAAAAAGATGACACAGGGAAGCAATTTTTTTTTATTACATATACAAATACTTGATCTTACTTAATTCAGATGAGGGTATTTCAAATCAGAAATTAGTTTTGTTCAGAAAACTGCAGATTTTTTTTTTTTAGGACGAGGTTCTACCCCTGTTATTGCATATCATTCATTATTGTTTTTTTATCACCTTAAACGTTGATATTTTACACAAAAATACGAAATATTTTGTTTTCAAAAAACACAATTCTTGTAGATTTATGTCAGAACATTTTGTTAACGTGTTAATCATAAGGAAATGAACGATTATCTGGATTTGAAAAATAATCGTCTGAAGTTGGAGAAAAAAAAAGTTTAATCTGAAAAACACAGAATGTGTGACTCAAAAAAAAATTTTTTAAATAAATCAATAAATGAGAAGTAACTTTACTCGTTGACGAAATTTATACCGATTTAAATGAGAAACGGTTGTTATCACTCGTATTTAAGTTTTCTTTTTTTTTTTTAATTTTTCATTATAAATTTTTTTATTATAAATGTTAAGATTTGTATCTGGCAACACATGATCTCTTTATTTTTTTATTTTATTTTTGATTGACATCTACTCGAGGGTGAATTTATATAATGAAAGAAATAAAGAACTTGTGAGCGAAAAATAATATTTCTACAATAATGCATAGACAACCAATATTTGAAGGAAAGAAGTTAAAAAAAATATGAAAAGAATTAAAATTTGCGGTAAGTATAAAGCAGATTGGAATTTGTAAATGAAGCTACAGAAAGTTTTATAAAATATGTTTTTTTTTTTCCTGCAAGTTTAACAGTTTATAATTCTAACAATCAAATCTTAATTATTATTTTTTTTTATTTCGTCGTACTCTCAGTACTTTTTTCTATAAACCTTCATGATTCTAAATCTTATAAATTTTATGTAGCAGAGCAAAATCTAACGAAAAACAATAAATAAAAGTGATAAAAAATTCGCAAAAAAGCACTCAAAAATTTAATAACTTCCGAACAAATCCAAAAGAAAAAAAGACTCTGAATTAAGCTCATAAATAAACGTGGTCCTTGCAGCTTACCAAATTTCAACTCTGAAGTTTTATCCAGCGGTCTGCAGAGCGGCCCGCATGGTGCTTTTTCCTACAAGTTAAACAATTAATAATTCTCGAACTAATTAAGGAAAGTTAATTTTTTTTTCATTCCATTGTACTCCCGGTATATTTTCTACGCAACTTTGTACTTTCATGTTCCCAAGTCTTATAGTTTGTGCGCAGCAAAATAAATTTTAACGGGAAAACCTAAAACAACGGCGGGCCTGTCATCGCCCTCTACGTACCACTCTCTACGTATGACAAATAGAAAACCTAAAAAAAACTTCATTTCGATGGATTATTTTTTTTTTTTTTTTTTTTTTTTTTTNCTTAAATTTTATTTTTTTTTACAACCGTCGTTGAACAGCCAACCCGATTCTTTGGGGTTTACGACTACTAATGTTCAACTCCGTAGCCTTGTAATTTTGAACTCAATCCAGAAGACAAGGGAACTCCTGGATCAAGTATTGGTTGAAATTTGCCTTCGTCGAGGACTTTTTGATGGAACTAACCCGCATTTGCGTTACATGGAGTGAAAGAGCACGAGAACCTCCCTCGGTTAACCTGACAGCAGGGGAACTCTAACCCATGATCCGTCTACCACTGAGGATATTTTCACGTCAGCACTGTGGTCGGTGTAGGCTGGATGTGGATTCGTATCGATCAGCGATCGCTGGGATTCGAACCTGGTTCACCTCATTGGAAGACGAACGCTCTATCCCCTGAGCCATCACGGCTCCATTTCGAAGTTTTTTAATTATCGGAGTAATTAGACTTATTAGCCGTCATGCTAAATAACATTCCACGAATTTTCCCCATGTGTTTGGTGCATGTGTTAGCCAATTTCGACTTTCGTGCCATTGAAATGTGAGTCGGTAAATTCATGCAGATGGACAACTATGAGAAACCGCAGGCGGTGAATATGGTTTGGTGGATCAACTGGCCACTGAAACCGAGTCCGATACAAATTTCTAATCCTCCAATTTGCACTTAAAATACTTATGCCAAAGATTTAAAGCAATATTGCTGAAGGCAGTAGGAAAAAGCGGTGATCCACGAAGCAATGAGCTGGTGAAGGGGAAGAACAATAAACGAAATTCGAATATAAAACTCCTCAACTCAGATGGCTGTGCAGAGCGTTGTATGAGTCAAATTGACATGGAATTTAGAACATTCTGGTCTGTTTAAATTTTTTAGATACTAATAACATTAAAAAAAAGTCCTGAAGACAAATTTAATGCTAAATGTTTGATTTAAATTAAATTAATTTCCCTTATTAAAAAATAATAATTTAAGTTACATCGAACAAAAGAAACGTTAATTTTTAAAGTGTTAAAATGAAAAATTTTGAAAAAAAAAATTTATGGAGCATTTGTGTTAGTTGTTAGCTTACTTATCAAAAGCGTAAACAGCTTTTTAAAAAATAGAAATCAACGTGATTTTGAAGTAAACTAAAATTACATTTCTGGTCCCAGTGAGGCATTTGTTTCTCTCTTCTAAATTATCGACACTGATTCTAGTTTGTTTGATCAACAGTTCCCAAATATGTTCCGTGGAACCCTAAGGTTACGTGGAAGAGTCAGTGAGGGAGTTAGTGAGTTAGTGAGGGAGGATTTAGCGCTTTTCATAACCAGGGATGCAATTATATTTAGATCCAAACCTCCAATTATATTTAGATCCGAACTATATTTCCTAATTTATTTAATTTTTCGGTTGTCTTTATGAAATTATTTCAATTTAAATACCAAAACAATTAAATGGCATTTCTTAAAAGAAAGTATAATATTTCTTATAACAATATACTGAACAAATTATGAAAAGAATAAGCATTTATAAAACACTTCTTCTTCTTCTTCAGGAGCGCAACAGCCCTTTGCAGGCCTTGGCTGCCTCAACAGCACGCCTTCTCCAGCTCCCTCTGTCCATGGCAACTCCCCTCCAGCTCTTAAATTTTAGGACTTTGAGGTCGTTTTCGGTGTCGTTGAGCCATCGAGTAGGTGGTCTACCTCTAGAGCGGGACCCCTGAGGGTTCTTGAACACGCTTTTCAAATCATAATAAAAAAACTCAATTTTTTATTAACAAAATGTATTTTCCAAATAACCACTTTCACGTTTACAGCAATTCTTTTAAGCTTTCATTTCGAAGTAAACCATAATTCGGCAGATTTTGTTCATTTTCAGTTATGTATAAGCAAAAAAAAATTATAACTTGCACAAGGACTGCGAATTCGACTGTCGAACCATAAAACCTAATATAAGATTATTAATGATAAAAAGGCAATAAAAAATCTTCATTCTCCTAATTTAATATAAAATAATAGTCTCCCATGTGTTATAACGTTCACAATTAGCTTAATAAACTTTATTTATTTATTTATAAAGTCGGGTTCCGCCGAAAGAATTTTGATTATTTAGGGATCTGTAACCGAAAGAAATTAGGAACCGCTGTGTTTGATCTGTAATTGTTAAAGTAATGTCCTTGCAGAAAAAATGATTATAAAAGTCAATGTATCGTCCTTACTATAACACTAACAGATCCGTGGAAACCCTGCATTCAAACTATTCTAACATTAAAAATAACTATTTTTTAACGTCATCTTTTCTTTCAACAAAACTGAAAAACAATGTCACAATTCAAAAAGGCACAATATTTTTATAAATGATTTGTTAGCAAATACATTAAAAAAACTGACAAAACGAGTTAATAACTCCTACCTTCCATTAATACGAATTAATCCAATAAATCTTCTTTTCCAATGACAAATTTTCACTTAATTAACTCGAATCACCTATTTGTGCAAAAATACTATTTTCGAAGAGAAGCTTCAAGAAGCTCCTCATTCAAATGAGACGAAGCAATTACAAACTAAAGCCATTTAAATCGCCATTAAATAAATGTCAGAAGAGCCATTTACCACTAAACGATCGTGCTTGAATTAAGAAAGAATTTCAAGGAGAAGGATTATATTTAGAATCATTTATTGCCGATTGAATGGAGCTTAACAAATACATAATAAACATTTGCATAATAATAATTGTAAATGTTGATTACCTATTCATTCTTTTGTGAATTTATTAAGGAATAGAAAATATTATTTTTTTACCTGAATATAACTTATTAATTAATGGCCATATTCAATAAAATCCAAGTTGAATTTGCGATGCCATGTTTTGGGTGCTCTACTTTAAGATACATTACGCTTTGTTTTGAGTAAAAGTTTCCAGACTTCGAAACCAAAAATTACAAAAAGGGGTGTAGAAAAAGTAAATAAAATTAATTATCATTTGTTAATTAAATCAAGAATTATTCATTGTTCAACTTGAGGTAAAAATATCATGTTCTGTAGCCCACATATATGCAACTACAGAGTTGAAATTTAACGTGCTGAAAGGACCATTTTTATATGTGAACTTGTCGCGAATTTTTTCGAAATGATTATTTTTCAATTTCTGATATTTATTGATTTCATTACAATTAACAAATATCAACAAAATGCTCTTATTCAAAATTATAATAGTTATATGTATTTACTAACTAAATTTTCTTTGATTTTCTGGAAATAATCCATTTTTAGGAAGAAAAAAACAACGATGAAAAAGCAATTCACGATGGTTAGTGAGCGGAGCTTCCTAATATTTAGATCTCCTAAAAACAAATAAAAAATTAATTAATTAATAAAGTTCAATTAATTAATTTTTAATTAAATTATTGCACAATTTTTAGTTAATTTTTAATTAATTTTTTATTGATTAATTTTTTACTAATTATTTTTTTATTAATTAGTTTTTAATTAATTAATTTTTAATTAATAATTTTTCACTTATTATTTTTTTAATTTATTAATTTCTAATTAATAAAGTTTTAAAATTAATTAACTCTTTCAAATAAACCTTTGTATTTTATTTGAAAAATAAAATTTCGTTTTATCTGCAAAAGTCGATTTATTTGTAAAATTTTTTAAAGTGTAAAAAAGCTATCAAAAATAATTCGGACCGGATCTATTTCAGTTTATCGAAATATTCCAATTAGAGTGGTATAATTAGTCTAAAGTAAGAACTCCCCTAGCCTGGACCCGTGGCGCTGACTATAGGCATAACTATTTAAAGTAGGGGTGTGGGGTCAATGTTTAGGACAGGTTTCAGCTCGGTTCAGCGAGAGAAAGGGAATCTTTTTCCTCTGTCTGCTGTGTTAGCTCTAGAGTGATGAGAAGCTACCCTCCCTGAAATACGCTATTCTTGTTTCCATAGCAGCAGACTGCCTGAGACTTTGTGGCGAGGGGAGCTCTTACCGTAGACAAATTATAACACTATTTTCTAATCCAGTGTTCCCGCAGTGGACTGAACGTAAAGACACGGTTCCCAGTAGAACACCGAAGTCAAGCATCACTGGCTGAGGTCAGTGAGCGGGTGGATGACCACTTTGATCAGTCTAAGTAGGGACCGAGGGTGCGCGGTATCGGTCTTCGTTAAACTGTTCTACCGAAAAGTGTTCTTCGTATCATTTTCTGGGATGTTCCTCAGACCGTCGCCAATAGCTCAATGCGCAACTCTAGTGTGACGTAAAATAAAAATAAAGTACCTAATCCAGTGGTTCCTAATTTTTTTCTACTGTGGAACCCTAAATAATCAAGCATCTTCCTGCGAAACCCCGATTTTTATAATTTAAGTAAATAAAGACAATTGTGCACGCATTAACAATTAAAAGACTACTTTATTTTGAGTTTTAGATTTATTTATATTTGATAAGATGAATTAATTTCTTTTTCATCATTTTGTCTTAAATTAAATTTTCTGTTCGACAGGTAAATTCACAGTCTTGGAGATTAATTTTGCTTAGCTAAAAAAAAATTTCGATATTCCTTTAAAAAAGAACTGTTATAAACGTTGAAAACTGGTAATAAGGAAACATATTTCTTTATTAAAGAATTCAGTTATTTTATTTTGATTTGAAACACGCTTTGTAAAATACAACTGCAATTTGTTTTATAGATGCCTTTTTATAATTTTTGGCAATTAAATACAATTTCATAAAGGCATTCGAAAAAATAACTAAATAATGGATTATTGATTGGATCTAAAAATAATTACTAATTTCAAGCATGCTTAAAAAGTTTTAATTTTTGGAATTCCTTTTACTCTTCCACGGAACCCTAGGGTTCCCAAATGAACACTATTTAGAAACAACTTTTCAACAATAAAATCTGAAAATCGAATTTTTTTTAATAAAAAAAAATATTAAAATTTAATTTTAATATGAACTTTTGCTAAAACTCTTCTTGCCAATTAAATATAGAAGATATTTCTTTTTAAATCCACCTGCACTATATTACCTTAAATAGCTGCACTCTTTCTTTAAATAAATCATTTGTATTACTGTAGTTGTAGTTCATTTACGTCGCACTAGAACTGCACATTGGGCTATTGGCGACGGTCTGGGAAACATCCATGCCATCACAATTTTGATCCTCTGCAGAGAGGATGGCACCCCGCTTCGGTAGCCCAGCGATCTGCATGCGAAGTTGAGCACTTTACGGTAGAACAGTTTAACGAGGACCCATACCGTACACCCTCGGTCCCTACGCAGACTGATCCAAGTGGTCACCCACCCGCACACTGACAGCAGCCAGTGATGCTTGACTTCGGCTTCGGTGATCTACTGGGAACCGTGTCTTAACGATCAGACCACTGCGGGACTCATTTGTACTAAGCAACATATGTTTTTGAATCTTTAGTTAGCCAGCGGTAACTCATTTTAAATCTTCTTTATTTTAAACCAAGATTTACTTAGATACTGATGAATAAATTATGCTACAAGTTTAAAATAAAAATGGCAATCTGACGAAAAATTCAGAAGAGTTTCTTTCCTCTGGGTTGAAATGGTCCTTTAAAACAGCAGTTTCCAAATGGTGTTCCATGGAACCCTTAAGTGCCATGGAAGAGTTAAAGAGGTTCCGATGGTTAAGAATTTTTTTTAAACATTTCAGAAACTCTTAATTATACTACATACAATAATCTATTATTTATTTAATACTTCGGTTGTCTTCATATAATTATTTTTTTAAAAAAATGCTATTAAAAAAAAACATTGGCAACATTGTGTTGAATAAATCGTAAAAAGGACATGCATTTATAAAAAAATTGCATTTTTGTATTTCGCATCTTGCTTTTCAAAACAAAATAAAATAATTAAATTCGTTAATAAAGAAATGTTTTCCTCATTTACAACGCAGTACATCTTCGTAATAATTTTTTTAAATTTTCATTTCAATGAAAACCATAATTCGGCTTAATTTATTCACTTTCAGTTTGTGTGAGTGTACATATATATATACTGTGCGCAGAAATAGAAAACGGACCACCCTCAATAACTTTTAATCTCAATAACTTTTAAACACGTTCTAGGACTCAATCATAATTGTATGAGGGGGTGACCTCAAATACACTAATTAATTAGTGTTGACGATATTTTAAGTTACGTAATCAAGCACAAAAACGTTCTTTCTCTCCCTTTACTTCGATGGATTCGGATTTCTGGTCCCCAATATATAGGGGGTAGCCGCAATCTGGGAAATATGGTCCCAATAGTTAGGACCTCTTAATGTTAATTTTTGCGTATTTCGCTATAAATGAAGAACTTTTTAGGTGAACAGAAAAATCTTTGCAAACAATTATAAAATTCATTTATTCAAAGAAAAATCGATTTAAAAAAATAAATTTTAGTAAATATTTATTCTTTTTTATTATTTTATTTAGAAACAGTCAAAAAAAAATTATAGTAAGGTATAAAAGTTTTTACATCATTTTTAAAGTATATAGTGTTACATGGTAAAATACAAAATTCGAGTGAAATCGGTTGAATAGTTCCTGAGAAATCGAATTTTAAAAAAACCGTATATTTAAAATCCGATTTCTCAGAAACTCTCCAGCCGATTTCGCTCAAATTTTGTAATGTAAAATTAGATATTTTAAAATGATGTAAACATTTTTTGAAAACCTTATTCTTCAAAAGTTTTCCAACTGTTATTAAATGAAATAACAAAAAATAGTAAATATTTACTAAAATTTGTTTTTTTGCATGGAATAATCTTTGGATAAACCAATTTGATAATTATATATGTTCAAAAAATTTTCAATTCGCTTACTAAGTTCTCAAGACATGGAGAAACACGCAAAGAATAAAATTATTATTAGGGGGTCCAAACTTTGGACCATAATCCCATATTACGGCTACCCCCAATGTTTTGTGTCAGAAGTCCGAATCCGTCAAACGAAAGTAAGGTTTATTCTGCGAAAGTATGGTTTTGTTTCTAATTTCGTAACCTAAAATATCGTCTGCAGTAATTAATTAGCATATTTTAGGTCAATACAGTGAAATTGAATTAGATTTTGAATATCAAGACTTGAAGACAAGGAGAAATTTTTAAAAAAATGCTCATATGGAAAAGTAAAAAAGTCTGCATTTCTAATCAAAAATTGTTGCACATTCTAAATCTAGAATTATTTGAAATATTTAGCTTAGAAGAAAATAAACCCATAAATACAGTAATTCAGTTTATTATTTAAAAAAAATTCAATTAACTTTCTTTAATTACATAAAAACTGATTTTTTTTGGGGGGGGGGAGGGGGTGCGCATTTTTTTGAATTTNCGTTCCCTAGTGTAGAAAACACCATCCATATATAATGCGCAAAATAGAAAACAGACCACCCTCAATAACTTTTAATCTAATGATCGGATCTTCACGTTTATACTAATTAATTAGTAAAGACGATATTTCAAGTTACAAAATCAGGCACAAAAACGTACTTTCTCTCCCTTTTGCTCGACGGATTCGGATTTCTGACTCTCAACATATAGTTTGTTGACTCTCAACATATAGTCCCAATAGTTTGTTCAGGAGAATGATCCCAAGTTTGAACCTCTTAA